TCACCCTACATGGGCAGGTCCTGAGCATTCCTGAATGTGCTCCTGGTACATATGAAACCTGTAAGAGGGAAAGATGGTAGGGAATGGAGCGACGTGGCATATAGGAGGTTGTATCAGAGATGTATTGGGTCAAATGCTACCAAAGCCTGTAGGGATGGTCATCCACCTTGGAGAACAAACAGAGAAGGCTAACTCTGTGCAAGAAGAACTGAAATTCCCTACAAGGACAGGGCAACGGCAGAAGTTGTCATGTGTCATATGAAGGAATTTTTCTAGCAAGAAGATATGGTCAGAGCTGGGAGAGAAACAGTTCACGTCTTCTGCTGCTGAAGGAGAGAACAGCAGTCGGCATAGCTCAGAGGCAGATATGGAGAGGAAGAGTGGACCGAAAGACCAGTGAGTATTGCTGAAAAGCAGGATGGTCTTGGGGTGAGGAGAGGCAAGAACCTGCAGAAAGAAGTGTGAGGGAGAAACAGCTCAGCATTTCAGAGACTAGGAAAAGTGAGGTGGAAAGTGGGGACAGTGAGCAAGCTAATGAAGTGGTAGATGCACAGGTACACAGGCAAGTAAATGTGAAAGCCCTTTCTGACTTTACAGGTCATGCCCGAAAGGACTCTGTGCTCCAGTTCCCAGCAGAAATGACCCTCCAGGTGGGACACTGTGCACCTCTGCCCTGCAATTTCTCTACCAGCTATGCCAGTCCCGACATTTTCTGGTACCAGCAGCGCCAGACCCAGTCCCTTCAGATGCTGCTGGGGGTGGACAAATGGAAACCTCAGGGAATTCGGGGAGCTTCTCCTCTGCACTGTTTGCAGAGGACTCCCAGGTGCTTCTGCACGTGTGGGATGCTGAGCTCCACGACATCGCTGTCAATTTCTGTGCACTGAGCCCACACTGGTGCCCACAGGTTGCAGTAGTGCACAGAAATGTGGGGGGGTGCTCTCAGGAGAGGTTGCATCCCTGCCACTGCTTGCATGTAGCTCTGAGCTCAGCCTGCCCAGCAGTGGCAGCTGGAGTCTGTGGTGAGACTGGGCCTCTGCCTCCTAAAGGTGTGTCTGCCATGTTGGTACCTCTTCTTTGTGAAGTGCTCACATGGACTCCCTTCACTGTCAGTGTGCAGAAAGAAGAGCTTTGACAATGTGATTCATCTCCTCTGAAATGAAAATCATAGCAAGGAGGAAAGCAAGTGCCCTTTGGAAGTACTAATGTCCTCCCAGAGAATGGAAAAAGAGCCTTACTCTCTGTCCAACAGATGGTAACCATATCTCCGTGATTTCCTTTGCTCCCACAGACAACAGGAATAGTTCTGGAGACCTATTCTCAGGCAATCCCACCCCAGCACTGCATGTGGAAGTTCATCTGGAGGGTGCTGGATTTCCAGCTGGATTCCACCCTGTGAATTTGACTCTGTTGCTCAGAAAGCATCATCCATTTCACCTCAGAGAGCTTAGGGTATTTGCTTGCTGTCCTATTGCTCTTCCAGGATGGCCTGCCTCTCCCAAGTGATGTGGATCTGCTCTGCCAGCCCTGTTGGAGGCTTTGCATGCCCCTATTTATCTCAGAGGGCTCTAGGCAGTGTTGATGGGGAACTGACGGCAGCCCTCAGTGTCCTGCACTGTGCTGTGTCTAGGATCCCTTGGACACTTCAGGTCCTGCTTTTGGTTGCTCTCCAGAGCTGTAGAGGGCTTCAACACACCACAGACACACGTTCCCCCCAAATCAGCATCCTCTTGAATAGGATTGAACAGCAGTTCTGGCTACCTGAGGACATGCCCAGGTTCAGGCTCCTCTCCAGCCTCCAAGGGCTTTCTCAGGTCTTTTCCCAAATGCCACTAAGAAAAATACCACAGTTGACAAGGGTGGGCATGAGCATGAAGCACAGTGATTTGCCTGTTTTTAATTAGAAATTTAAAAGTACATTCATATCCTGGACAGAGGGAAGGAAGGGGAGTGTAACTTTTGCTGACTGTCTTATGCAAGGAATAATGATTATAAGTAGAGATACCAGACATTGCCAGATTTTATCTTGAACCAGAGCATGAGTCGATGAAACAACCACAAGAATGGGACACAGATACATCCAGAAAATATCAAACTAAATGGAGACACACACACCCTTTCCTGAAGTAATGAGCCAGCTGTTGGCACTTCTTTAGGTAATTCAGATGAATCCCAGAGAAAGTGAAACACTTTGTAAACTGGAATACAAATGTGAGGGAGGACCACTCCTCCAGTGGAGGAGAAGTAATCAGAGAAACATTTCTGGATGGAGCTTGTGGCCCTTTCCAGTCGCTGGTCTTTAAAGCATGGTGAGGCATTCTGAATCTACCCAGGAGTGAACAGAGGGAGATGGGAGCTTTAGAATTAAGGCTCAACACAGCCTAAGATGGCCATGAGGTGAGTGAGATCAGCTCACTGGGGAACTGCTGGCTTTTTAGTACCTGTGATTCCTGGGTTCGCTTACCACTTCGGTGAGGGACTTCTGCAGGGCAGAACTTGTGGGAGGAAGGGGGTGAATTTGTTTGCTCTCACTCATGCCCTTTGAAAAGCCACTTCACTTTCTCTGGAAAGCCCGTCCCAGAGCTTGCTTCACTTCTTTATTCCTAAGTGTGTAAATGAAGGGATTCAGCAGAGGAGTTACAACTGTGTTAAAGGTATTCACAAGTTTGTTCAGATCTAAAGAGTTCTTGGCTGATGGCTTGACATACAGGAACATAGTGGAGCCGTACCAGATCGTGACAACACTGAGATGGGCAGAGCAAGTGGAAAAGGCCTTTTTCCGGCCATGGGACGACTGGATTCTCAGGATGGAAGAGATAATGTACATGTAGGACACCAGTGTGACCACACAGGAGGCCACAACAACAATTATGGAGACTAGAAAGGTTGCCAATTCCACAGGCCATGTGTCACTGCAGGAGAGGGCAAGGCAGGAATCTATATCACAGAGGAAATGATTGATGACATCTGGCCCACAGAATGTCAGCCTGGATGTCAGAAAGGCCAGCAGTGAGATGGCCAGAAAGCCTCCCAGCCAGGAGCTGAGCACCAACCGAGCAGAGAGGACCTTGTTCATGAGTGAGTTGTATCTCAAGGGGTAGCATATGGCTAAGTAGCGGTCATAGGCCATGACAGACAGAAGGAAACATTCGGTGGAGCCTAGGGAGAGAAGAAAATACAACTGGAGGATGCAGACACTGAAAGAGATGTTCTGGCTTGTCCCCAGCATGACTCCTATGGCTTTGGGAACAACACCTGTGGTGTACCAGATCTCCAGAAAGGAGAGATTACAGAGGAAAAAGTACATTGGGGTATGGAGGTTGCTGTTCATCCACACAACGGATATGATGGATGCATTGCCGATTACTGTCAGGGAGTACGTCAGTGCAAATACCACCACAAGGAAGACACGGAAATGCCATGTGCCTGGGAAGCCAAGAAGGATGAATTCTTCCACACTTGTCCCATTTGCCATGTCCTCCAAAGTGTTGAGGTCCATCTGCAGAGACAGGAGAGTTTCTGTGAGAATTTGTATGCCTGTGCTGGTCCTTCAGTTGCTACTAGTAGTGAAACACCACCATCATTCCTGAAAAAGACATTGCTGCAGAGCACGGGAAAACAGCGTCTACCCTAAGTTAAAATAGTCATGGAAATCCTTTGCTATAGAAACATCTTTGGACTGCATCTGACCCTGAAGGTCAGAACTATACCATCAAATGAACCTGGACAACTATTTTTCAGATCAAGTGCAGGCATCTCATTTAGAACATGATAACTGCAATTGCTTCTGTGAGATGATAATCCCATATTAGGAAATTGTGGATGGCAGTCTGAGGGTCTCCAGCCAAGTGAAATGCTGTTGCAGTGGAAGGGAATAAAATTCCTATACTCTTCAAGGCAGGAAATACTGAGCTGTGATTTCAGCAAATGAGACTGAAGGAATAGAAAACTGTCATGACAACATGGTACTGGAAGAGGTTTTTCCCACCCCTTCCAGGTCAGTGTATCACAATGGCTTCTGATGAGATGGCAGCAGCACAGGGCAGGAGGCTAGCAGGACAGACATTACTCAAGCACTTATGATGTTATGTATTTCCTTTCTTCCATCACAGGAAGCATTTGGAAGTAACTCCATTACCTCCACAGATGTCTGCTTCTCAGTATAGCTGCTAGGGGTAAGTCTCACCTCTTCGTAATTTTGTTATCTCAGAGTCAGTGGAAGGACTTCGGCTAACCAGGTTGAAAGACCTACAATGAAATACTCCTGTCTCAGCTCCTCAGCTTACTCTCTTTTCTGAGTGGACAGAGAAAAGACCCTAGGGAGACTTGGCTCATCTTACCTCATGTACAGGGTTAAAAACCCTCCAAGGTTGACAAGTTGCCTCTGAGGACTAAGGCAGGAGTCTAGAGAGAAGCTCGGATGGAGAAATCAGGCATCTCAGCTTGGGCAGAGATATGCATACCTCTGTGACTGAAGGCAAATCTGCTGAGCTGAGTCCCATCCAAGGTAGGTCTGCTGAGAAGCCAGCTGAGATGCAGAGTACAGTCCCCCTGCAGACAAAGGAGGGTTCTGGATTAGCTCTCTAGAGCAGAACCAATCCCATCCTCAGGTGCATATCTGAGACAGATGGGGTTGAACTACAAACTGAAGGATCCCTTTCTCTCCTTTCTTCCTGCTTAGGAATTTACATACTAGAAATCTCATATAGCAAAAAAGCAGAGAAATCCCCCTTATTCTGGCTCTTCCAAAACATGCAAGGCATTGGAACTCTATGCTAGAGGTCTTGGGTGGGCTTCACTCACCAGCTCAGCCAATGCAAATGATTCAAATGACATCTTTTCATGCACCATCTTCCAGAAGAAGCCATGGTCCCCTTGGCTAAGGGTGAACATTGGCAGGAGGTTGATTTATTGGAGGAGCTCTGGATGCCGTGGTGTCAGGTGAAGTGTGAATGAATCACTCTAACCATGCAGCTTCACTTCAGGCTGTACACAATTGTCTGACATTGTATCTTCTCCATCCACCCAGTAGGTACTGACAGCTTGTGCTCCTGATTTTGTTTCACGCCCACAGTCACCACTGTAGTTCTGCAACAGAGGGCTTTGTGTGCATACACACAGTGTAAAGTGTCTGCAGTTTAGCTCCATATAGGAACAGCATACATCAGAGAGTCATCAGCGTCATTAGCATAAGAACATCCCCACACCCACCTCATTAACACACTGAAGCTCAAACTTGCCACACCAAGGAGATGGTTTTCTGTTTTCCCTCTGTGTGCCACAGGGAGTTTGACCTCGGGGGATATCTCATGGGCTTGTGGAAGATAGATAATGCTCTCTTTTCACCCAGGCCAATTAAAGAACAGGCATGCAATTCTCTAAATTGGCTGTCAGGCTGGGTGTTTGCCTCCTGCCTGCAGGTGTGGTATGTGAAGATTGTCAGGAACTCAGTGCTGTCTTGTGTAGCCATTTGCTGACAAACTGGAGATGTCTGAAATAGCCATGTCCCGAGAGACTGGAAGTGTCAAGTATGTGGTGCTGGATACTAACATGGTCTTGAAACCTCCACGGTGGGAGATAACTAAAGGCATCTATGGACACATGAATACAGAGAGAAGAAGGTAAGGGGTTCACCTACGCCATTTCTGAGCCTCTAACTACAGTTAAGGCCTCAGTCTTCAGTCTTCATTGAAGTGAAGATCTAAGTAAAGGTCTAAGTGCAAAGTCAGACAAGTACTCGGTTAGAGTACGGGGAATTGATCTCCTCTGCCTCCAGAGCAGGTGTCTCCAGGTGAGCTACTCATTCTTGCTGCATTGATCATCAGCGGAGAGAAACAGACTGTCATGCCTCAGTTCAGTCTGTTCAAAAGATGCTTTCTCACACAAATCAGGCACTCAGTGCCTTACAAGCACCTATTCCACTTCTGTTGACACTCCAGATAAACTAAGCATCTGGCTTAAGCAATACACACACGCACACACACACACACAAATCTAGACCTCTGGGCATCTAAATTTAGTTGAGAAGACTCACACCCAAAAAGAGGCTGTCTACACTGTCCAGGGCTATGGCACAGGTTTTGGAATTGACAGAGTCATCTTCTGCAAGTCCTGTAACCCTTCCAAGGGTTCAGTGCGGTTGAGAGAAGACTGATCTGCACTTGGTGTGAGGGGGAGATGCAGCTAATGAGAGTAATGTGCCCAGCTTGAGCCCATTTGCTGACAGAGAAGATCTCTTCCTGCTGTCTATTTTTCCTAGAGTACCCTGGACATGGATATGGGGTTTAGCCATGTGGTGGAGGTGCTTGCAGTCTCCAGTAGGACAGTCGAGGAGTTCACTTGTGATCAGGCACGCCAGAGCTGCCGTGAGCTTATGACAGCTGGGGAGCTCAGAGGCCACAAATGATGAATTGCAGGATCAGCGTCTCCAGAAAGATGGTTTGTCCCATTTACTGTGCACATCTGCTTTGGGATAGGATAACTCCTGTGTGTGAGCTGATGTCTCTTCACTGACTGTGGGAAGAGTCTTCAGAGTCAGTTAGAGCAAGTCCAGAGGAGGGCCGTGAAATGATCAGAGGGTTGGAATATCTGTCCTCTGAAGAAAAGCTGAGACAGTCGGGGTTGTTTAACATCGAGAAGAGAAGGTTCTGCAGAGATCTTATTGCGACCTTTCAGTATATATAAAGGGCTTATGACAACAATGGAGAGAGACTTTTTACCAGGGCGTGTAGTGACAGGCAAGGGGCAGCGGTTTTAAGCTAAAGCAGAGTAGATTTTAGTTAGATATAAGGAAGAAAATTTTTAGGATGAGGGCAGCGGAACACTGGAACAGATTGCCCAGAGATATTGTGGATGCCTCACTGTTAGAAGTGTTCAAGGACAGGTTGGATGGAGCTTCCACTTCTCTTGCAGTGGTTCAGAGTTCCAGGTCTTTATGTACACAAAATCACGTGGTTGATACTGATGCACAGGCGTATCCAAAGCAAGCGATCTGGTCAGCACAACGTATTTTCGGAGTACCTCGAGGGTTTTTCCTAAAGAAATCAAATACATTTTTAAATCTGTTTCCCCTGCTATTTTCACATCCCCTGGGATTAAAGGAGTCTGATAAGGTCTGCCATACAAGATTTCTTATGGACTTACACCATCTTTAGATCTTGGTTGGACTCTGATACTTAGAAGTGCTAATGGTAAGGCTTGTGGCCATTTTAAAGACACCTCTTGGTAAATTTTACTTATTTGTCTTTTTAATGTTTGGTTCATTCTTTCAATTTTCCCACTTGATTGCTGCCTCCAGGGGGTATGTAAATTCCAATCTATGCGTAAGACTTCATTTACTTGTTGAACTATTTCTGCTACAAAATGTGGTCCCCTATCAGAACACATGCCGATTGGTACCCCAGACCTTGGTATTATTTCTTTTAGCAATATTTTAACTACTTCTCTTGCTTTGTTGGTGCGACAAGGAAAAGCTTCTGGACATCCAGAAAAAGTATCAATTAATACTAATAGATACCTGAATCCATTCTGTCTGGGCAGTTCAGAAAAATCAACTTGCCAATAATCTCCTGGGGAGTTACCCTGTTTTGTTACTCCTAAGGGTGCCTTTTTCTGGTTTAAAGGATTATTTTTGAGACAAATTGGACACTTGACTACTATAGATTTAATTACCCCCGTCATTCCTACGCACACTGCAGATGATTTTAGGCTCAAGACGATAGCATCTATGCCCCAATGGGTCTGTGCATGCGTTTCTTTTGCAAGTTCTGACATGACTTGCGGGGTTACTATTACTTGTTTTTCTGGTGTTACCCACCACCCTTCTGTATTTTGTGATGCTTTCAATTGTTCTTCTAATTGTTCATCCAGTTCACTATATTTTAGTTTCAGATTCATGATTTTTATCTGTTTTACTGGTACTAGTGCAAGGATACTTTGTTCCGCAGCCTCCTTTGCTGTTTTGTCCGCCAATCGATTACCTACGTTTACAGCTGTCTGACCAAATTGATGAGCCTTGCAGTGCATCACTGCCACTTCATTTGGTTTCTGCACCTCTTCGAGGAGCTGAAGGATTTCTTCTTTATGTTTTATCGATGATCCTTGAGCTGAGAGCAGTCCTCTTTCTTTCCAGACGGCTCCATGAGCATGAATCACACCAAATGCATATTTGGAATCAGTCCATATATTTACCCTTTTTCCTTCTGCCATTCGCAAGGCTTGTTTCAGTGCCACCAGTTCTGCTTTCTGTGCCGAGGTATTTGCAGGTAGCGTTCCTGACTCCAATACCTCGGTCGTGGTGACAACAGCATATCCGGCCATTTGTCTTCCTTCTTTCACAAAGCTGCTTCCATCCGTGAACAACTCCAAACCAGGATTTTCCAGAGGTTCATCCCTCAGGTCCGGTCTGCTGGAATAGACTTGTTCAACAGTTAGCAGGCAGGGTTATGAATGTGTGTTTCAGGGTTTGTTGTGTAAGCACTGCAAAATCAAGGCTACACC